GTTCGCTACCAATGTTTTACAATCTTGCATCTAAGCTGCTAACGCCCACCATTATGCAGGATACACAGACAAGGAACTTCCCTTAAGCATTTAGGAGGGTTGAACCCGGCAGGGAATTAGCATAAGGAGGATATCAAGGTCAAGGTCAGCAAGTAATGCAACAGTTACCCAAAACGGGGGCCAGGGCCCTGCAGGTCCCCCTTTTATTCAAAAATAAGCTTCTGACTTGGGTTATATGGGACGTCAGCAGGTCACCTTACCCGTCATGGAGACGCCAGGCCACACAGGCCTTCTGTCTTAGATTGATGAGTGCCCCCCCAGGCATTACCCATCTCTGAATACTCATTATCATACAGGCTCAATCGTGTGTGAGCTGCAGAGTTAACTGCTGCTAAAGATCTCAAAGTGGCGCTGGGCTTGCAATCTGTGTGTTCGACACAGAAAAGACCAACAGAGGTCCTATCTTACTCATAGCCAGTAGGCTAAAGGCAACTGAGCCATTCCCTTCCTTAACGAGCCTTACCGCAAATTGGAGTCCTTGTAAGATGGTATCCCAAAAGCAAATGGAACTTGACTTTATAAATTTATAATTTTCAAAGCCAATCGAAATGTATATAACTATTGAATTAAATTTATCATGCCCAATAGAATGAAAGATTAACTAACTGTGGTAGCTACTTTTGCTGCCAGGGTCTCCACTGTGCTAGCTGTAGTAAGCAATTATGAAATGTTAATCCCAGAAACAGTAGCAGCGGTGGCCGCCACTGCTATAACAGCAACAACGGCAACAGCAATGTCAAAATCTCTTCTGGAGCGTGTGGACATCCACTGGCATGGATACAACTCCAGGAACACAAACAGCCAAGGCCCATTCATTTTTCTTGATCCCAGCATGACATAAGCTGGCAGCTCTGCAAAAGAACAACTAAGAACCATAAAGAAAAAACAGGCAGCTCATAAGGGGCATAAATAACTAATGGTCTTATAATGGCTACATTCAGGCTCATAAATTTTAAGATATCTTCAAAGGGGGGTTAAATGAATTTCAGGAGGCCAATAAATGTTGCATAGAGCCACTCCTGAAAAGTAGGTACTACACCAGCTTGAAGAGGATTGTGAAAATGAAAAGGCTTAGTTGGCATGCTACTGTTAACAAATGGAGGTCAGTGACCTTCAGGGTTTTCCTTAATCTCCAAGGTGTCTGGGTGACACTTTCTCAAACATACTTGAAAAAGCAGTTACCATACATTACCTTCTGGAGAATCCAACCACACGGCTACAGTTCCTAGGCTTACGTTAATGCTTGCCAAAGCTGCCATATTGGGCTCTCAATCCCCATTGGCATCAGAAGGGGAGAGTTTTTCATGAAGGCCCAATAGGTCTCTGTCATGTTGGGCTTCAACAGCAGCCACAGGGCACACACAGCAGAGCTGCTTATTTCTGTTGTTGTTTTGGCTTAAGTGCAGAAAGCTTTAGTTTGTCAAGATGCTAGAGTCAGTAAAGGTCAACTTGTAGTGACAGGATGAGGTTCTAGTGTCAGAAAGTGCATTTTCTAGGTTCAAGGCAATTTCAGAAGTTCTTGGATAATTCTACTATTACAGAAGTTAATAATTGAAATTATATGTGTGTTTTTTCAACCTTATGATGCCTTACAAATGTTATTTTATTGTTTCATTGGTGTCCTAACATTTCTCTGGCATAATAGTAAAATACTGAAGGTATTACTCCAACCAGCTGATCACCAGATTAAGATATTTTCTCCATGGTGACTGAAAATCTGTAATTAGAATTGTAATGAAAGAAAGCTGGATCTCCTAAGCTAGTAATTGATTCCTTGGTTTTTGAGTTCCACTGCTGTGGTAATTTATGACCATTCATAATGTTTTTAGACAAAACGCATGCTGGTAGAAAAGATGGGACATGAAGCAGTGGAACTGGGCCACGGAGAAGCAAACATCACTGGCTTGGAAGAGAATACTTTGATTGCTAGCCTCTGTGACCTGCTGGAGAGGATATGGAGCCATGGCTTACAGGTCAAGCAGGTAACTAACTCAAGAGGTGCTGGTGGCATGGCTGATTAAGGGACTTACTTACTCACATCAAGGGACTGTTCAAGGTGACACACACCTTTAATCCCAGCACTCAGGAAGCAGAAGCAGGTGGATTTCTGTGAGTTTGAGGCCAACCTGGTCTGCATAGTGAGACCTTGTCATAAAAAAAAAAAAAATAGGAAAAAGGAAAAAAGAACAGGTGGTGGTGGCACACACCTTTAATCTCAGCACTCGGGAGGCAGAGGCAAGCAGCCTGGTCTACAGAGCTGGCTCCAGGCCAGCCAGGGTTACACAGAGAAACCTTGTCTCAAACCCCCCCCCCCCCCAAAAAAAAGGAGGCAAGGTTGAGGCTGGCAAGATTGCTCAGCACCAAGCCTAACAATCTGACTTTGATCTTTGGAACCCACCTAGTAGAAGGAGAACTTCTACTGAAAAGTTGTCCTCTAACTTCCACACATGAAATAAATGTAACAAGAAAAAGATCCCACAAGATAACTAGATTCCCACAGGCCATTCAGTTCCAGCAGAAGAAACATAATCTGGGTTAAATGTAGTGGCATGCACCTCTAATCTCAGCACTTGGGAGGCAGAGAAAGGTGGGGGTAGGCTGGTGTGCAAAGTGAGTTCCAGACCAGCCAAGCCTATACAGTGAGACTATCTCCAAAAAAAAAGGAAGGAGAGAAAATCAATCTATGATCAGGAGGTGGTCTGAGGATCTTTCATGATAAACAGGAAAGGACAAAATTGCACATGTGTTGGAAGTGCTGGCCCCACACTCGGGAGAGAGGACCCGCCCTTCATACAGGTGTGGGAGAGCTGGCCCCACACTCGGGAGAGAGGGCCCGCCCTTCATACAGGTGTGGGAGAGCTGGCCCCTGAGGCATGGGCCTCGGAGAGCTGGCTCTGCCCCTTTGCCTGAGGGGGACGGTCCCAGTGGTCCAGACTGACCAGCTTAGCTACCACCCAGACCCACATCCTAGGCCTTGGGTTGCCCCACCCTAACATCTACCCCATCTGTGACCTGCTAGAATGTGTGAAGGGACTGGTCCTGTGGAACGATGTCTGCAGGATCTGTTACCTGGGGCAATGGGGATATCCGAGAGGGGTTTCAGTGAGGGTCTTGATGAGAAATTATTTTTTGATAAGAATTGTTTCTTTAAAGATTTTATATGTCTTGTGCTTTCAGGGGAAGTCTGCCTTGTGGTCACATCTAATTCAGTTTCAGGATAGAGAAGAGAAGCAAGAGCATCTCACAGATTCACCAGGTAAGAAGGTGTCGGAGTAAGATAGATTGCTTCAAGTCTCATGTATACTGGGCTAACCTTGTACTCTTGGTCTTCCTGTCTTCATCTCCCAAGTGCTAGGATTATAGGCATCGATCACCATACCTAGCTTGAGATCGATTGGTTTGATAGAGTTGACAGTATGAGACAATGAGAAGAATCATTTTAGATGGGTTTGTCTCTATCCAAAATTTACCCATGTTGTCAGGATAAAACAAAAGGAGCAATATTACAGGCTGTGAATCTACGAAACTCACTTGACCTTTCTGATCTTCTGCTTTCTTATTATAAGATAGAGAAAATGATAGTAGCTATCCAAAGTGATCATGTTTATATAGAAGAACAAAAACAATTAATTGTGAAGGACTATACAGGTCTGTTCTCCCAGTATTGTATGGTATACACTGTTGTTGTTATTTTTATTATAGAAAAGTTTTGTGACCATCACTAATATCTTTTTTTTTTTGAGACAGGGTCTCTCTGTATAGCCTTGGCTGTCCTGTAGACCAGGCTGGCCTTGAATTCAGAGATCCACCAGCCTCTTCCTCCCGAGTGCTAGGATTAAAGGCATGTGCCATCACCACCTGGCAATAATCTTAATATCTTCTGTTACATTTTATTTAGTTATTTTTCTATGTGGACATGTGTATGTGGAGGTCAAATGACAACTTGCAGGAGTCAGTTCTCTTCTTCCACTTTGTGGGAACTGGAAATTTAACTCTGGCTGCTTGGTTTGGTGGCATGTACCTTCATCCACTACTCTATCTCACTATCCCTCCTTTTTTTATAATGTCAGGATCAAGTCCTGGACCTTGTATTCATAAATAAATTTTCAGGAAAAATGACATATTTATCTCCAAGACTATTTAAGGGTCATATTCTTTTTTATATAATTTATTTAACTTTTTATCTCATGTACATTGGTGTGAAGGTATCAGACCTCCTGAAATGGGAGTCACTGACAGTTGTGAGCTGCTGTGTGGCTGCTGGGAATTGAACCTGGGTCCTCTGGAAGAGCAGCCAGTGCTCCTAACCCCTGAGCCATCTCTCCAACCCCAAGAGTCAGATTCTTTTGCTTAGCTTGTTTCCTTCATTTTGAGATGGGGGTCTTACTGCAATGCTCAAGTTGGCCTCAAACTTTGTATAGATTCCACCTTAGTTCCACATGTAGCTGAGACTACAGGCATGTATCACCACACTCAGCTTAGGAATCAGATTCTTCAATTTATAGAAGATATCTCATGGTATTGATATCATAATTCTTCTAATCAGAATTATATAAGATTCTTTAGGTCAAATAATACAACTATTCATTATTTTTTTCACAAAGAATTTGTGTTTTCTTGGCAGTGCTGATGATCAAACCCAAGGCATCAGCCATTGAGTCATATCCACAGCACAGATATTGATTTTCTTTATGTAAGATAACCATCTACTTCATAAAACGTAGAATTAACAGTAGGAAGTTAATAGAAATAAAGTGTTTTGGCTGGGTATGGTGGCAATTGGCTGTAATGTCAGTACTCATGCTGGGGTAGGAGGGTCATTTGAGCCAGTCTGAGCCACATGGTAAGAACTTATCCAAAAAAAGTCCAAAACTGAAAAGGGGTAGGGAAAGATTTTATAGTGAATTAGCCATTTAGGAACCATTATTTAAATTATAAATTCTTTCAAAAAATCAGAGATAAAAGTGGTTTCTTTTTTTTGAGACATGATCTCATTGCGTAGCTCTGGCTGCCCTGGAACTCAGCATGTAGACTAGGCTTTGACCTTGCAGAGATCCCCCGCCTCTGCCTCCAGAATGCTGGGATCAAAGGTGCCACCACACCCAGCTGTAAAAAAAAAAATTTTGAATCCCTAACTTAGAATCAGTGATACAGCTCCGTGAGTAAAGGTTCCTCTGCCAACCCTGAAACCTAGGTTTGATCCCCAGAATTCATGTGCTAGGAGAGAGTCAATGCCACAAAATTATCTTTTGACCTCCACCTAAAGACCATAAAAGTGTGTGTGTGTGTGTGTGTGTGTGTGTGTGTGTGTGTGTGTGTGTGTTTATGTGATTTTAAAAAATGCATAAGCTAACCACCAACCTAAGAAATAAAACATTGCAGGTTGGGGATGTAGCACAGTGGAAGGGTGCTTACCTAGCAAATGTAAGACACTGAGTTCAATCCTCAATACTGAAAATAAATAAATAAAATGAAAGAAGGAAAATAAAGGAACACCCTTGGGTTCATCCCCTATTCTTTTTCCTTCACTGTCTCTACCCAAGGAAGCACTACCCTACAGAGTTTACTCATTAAAAAAACAAACAAACAAAAAACCCTCACTTTAAATGTATTTTATAAGACAGCTAGGAATATGGATTTGATACTGCATTGCTTGGACCTCCTCTCAAAGACTTGTCAGTGTCCTGATGGCCTATGCTATAACTATATTTATACCAATTTAGATCCCTCATGTCCATCTCTTCTTCCCTTTTTGCTATATAGAAAGTAAAAGTACATTGGTCTATGTATCTAACAGAAATTGTAGCCATTAAGGATGAAGAGCTATATAAGCAAGGTAGCTTATCTAAATTTCACTTGACCATAACTAGTAAGTGGGTTTTACCCTGGTTAGAAAAGGAAGTAGGGCTGAGCATAGTGGTTATACCCACACTTAAGGTGTGAGAGCAGGAGGGTCAAGAGTTTGAGGCCATCCCTGGGGTATGTATTAAGGCCCTGTCTCAAAAGAGAATAAATTCCTAGGAAGTAGCTGTTCATGGGGTGAAATGTTGAAAAGCCAGGTTCAATTGAGATGAGATAGATGCATTCAACTCTTATGCCCAAAAAGACGTGTGAGAATGTTCAGAGGTTAGAATCAGCTGCTACTGGGCAAAATTCACAGCTTTTGTGCTTTTCACTGGCCAAATGTTGAGTGGTTCAGTTAGAAATCAGAGTTCTAAATATCTTCAGTGACCTCCAGTTGATGGTAGAATCAGCAAATTCTAAAGTGAAAGATAAATGAAAATGCATCAAAGGTCCATGCAGTTACGTCTCTGCTGTACTGCCAAATTGGTGAAGGGCTAATGATGTAAGAACATTGTTTTAGTGATCTCAGTAAGATTAATAAGAGCCATGTAACTTTTTTTTTAGACAAAGTCTCACTATGTGGCTCTGGCTGGCCTGGAACTACCTATGTAGATCTGGTTGGCTTCAGATCTACATAGACCTACCTGATAACCTCTGCCTCCCACACCAGCACTTGCCCAACATAACTTTAATATATATATTAATATAATATATATATATATCATATAAATTATATGATTGTATGTGTGTAAATGTCTTTGGAGGGCAGAAGAGGGTATCGAGTCTCTTGAAGATACAGCTACAGGTAGTTGTGGGCTGCTCAACATGAGTGAAGGGACCAAATTTGGGATCCTCTGCAAGAGCAGTACACACTCATAAAGCTGAGCCATCTCACCTGCCCTAAGCCATATAGCTTTTGAAGTCTGTGTTTATTGTTTCAATAGAAGGGTGAAGTTTATGAACATTGCTCTAATATTTCTGGTGATTTAGCCTGTGAAGACTTAAAAATATTTTGTGGGCTAGAGATGTAGCTCAGTTGGTAAAGCTTGCCTAGTGTGTTCAAGGCTCTGGATTTGAACCCCAGCACCACACTAACCGGCTTAGTGGTACACACCTGTAAACCGGGCAATCTCGGCACTGTAGAGGTGGAAGCAGGAGTTCAAGTTCATCTTGGCTACATAATTAATTGGGGGCTGGCCTGGGCTGAATAACATTAAAAATGAGGGTAGGGTTGATGAAATGGCCCAGCAGGTTAAGATGCTTACCACCAAAGTCTGATAAACTGAATTCAGCCTGATTCCCACAGGTTGGCTGCTTTGACCTCCATATATATGCCATGGCACATGTGTAAACACATGAGCACAACACACATACATACATTTAATAAATGTAATCTATTTTATTTTATTTTGTAATAGTATGGCTGGGGATGTAGCTCAGCAGTAGAACACATCCTTAGCATGTGAAAGGTTCAGTTTCATCCCAATAGAATATGAATATGGGTGCACATACATTTTTTTGGTATGTTTTCCAAGACAGGGTTTGTCTGTTGTAGTCCTGGCTGTCCTGGAACTCGCTCTGTAGACCAGGCTGTCCTGGAACTCACAGAGATCTGCCTGCCTCTGCCTCCAAGTGCTGGGATTAAAGGCATGCACCACCACCGCCCAGCTTATTTTTTTTCATCCTTTCATCACATTTATTTATTTTGGTACGGCACAGGCGTAACATGTATGAATCCTTGGTTTTGATTTTCATTACCCCCTCAAAAAAACAAAATTAAAGGAAGGTGATAATTGAAACATTTTACTTAAATACTTAATATTGGTTTTGAGTCTTGCTCACTCTCTGCTCTGACAGGCTGTTACTCTTAGTTTACCCAACAGCTAGCCTTTGAATAACCTCTAATTTGATCAATTTATTTCTCCCATATCATCATAGTATCAATCCATTTACTAATTGAAAGGTGTAGTATTCTTTACTAAATCTCTCCCTTAAATAAAATTCTAAACTGACACTTAAGGTTCAAGTATCTGACCCTCCATTGCACATTTCCTTAGCATTTACAGAGCATACACTATACATTAGTTTCTCCAGGCCCTTTGTGTATTGAAGACCAGGCATGGTGGTACACACCTCAGAGGCAGAGGCAGATGGATCTCTGAATACAGAGTTAGTCACAGCTATATTGTGAGAATGTCTCTAAAAAGGGAATAATAATAGAAAGGTTAAACACTGTCAAACACTGAGCCTGTGGCTGAGAGGATATTTAAGAAAGATTTCAGACAGACATTTAAAACTGTATCTTGAGAGCTAACTTTATACAGAGCACTAATCCAAACATTAGATCATTTAAACAAGATATCCACTCTTAACTATCTCTAGTTTATGGATAAGAGTAGAGAAGTTAGTCACTCATCCAAGCATGGAAGTCTATTAATCCCCCACAGGGTTCAGAAACACACGTTCAACCATTAAGCTGCTTCCAGTCTAGTGATAAACAGACAGTAATGGGGAGACAGGTGGTAAAGAAGCATTAAAAAGTAAGTTTTAGACTTAAAAATGCATGGCAGAGTAACATTGCCCCCTTCAGGGCTGCCGGGGAACAGAGGTGGAGCAGGACAAAGCATACCCTTCAAGGGCATGCTCTCAATGTCCTGCTTGACCAGGTCATTGGCCGCACCTTCTGGTTTCTGCCACCTCCCAATGCCATCAGGCTGTAAGTCCATCAGTGAATTGATCACTGATTAGGCTCGAGTCCAGATGATTCAGCACCTTCCAAATGCCGTGCCACATGTGAACACTGTATTGAAGGCTAAGCCATAAACACAATTTTGGAGGGCACATTTCCTGTCCAAATTAACAGTTCCTGTACCTATAGGACACCCATTGTGGAAGCTGCTGCTTTATTAAAGGCTTTATCATTATTGCTTAATTTATTTGTTTTGGTGCTAGGGTTGTACCCAGGCCTCACACATAGTATACAAGCACTCTGTCACCAAGCTGTACCTCCAGACCGCCTTTTTGTTATGAGATCGCGTAAGCTATCTGGGTCCTCCGTTGATTCCCTCTAGCCAACTTGCTGATTATAGTTTCAACTCTTTCCTTCTGCTTCATAATCTTCTCCCACTTCTCAGCATTTTGTTTTGAGGTTGTTTAGTTTTGTTTGTTTGTTGAAACAGAATTTCTTGTTGCCAAAGATGACTTTGAATTGATCCTTCTGCCTCCACCTTCCAAATGCTGGGAATACAGGTGTGGGCCACTATATCGTTCCTCTTGCTGTTTTGTGACTATATTTTATGTTGTCATGTGGAATCATCAGTCATTCTCTGAGCCATTTGACTTCCTACCCTGAAAGAATAATTCACTTCAATAACACACTTAAGCTAGGATGGTCTCAATAGGAAGATAAATCTATCATATTCCCTGAAATTTCCTCAATGTGCATTACTTCCCTGAGTATCAAAGAGATTGGTCTTTAAAGTAACAGTTTGAAAACTACCTTCCTTAAACCAGATGTTGTGGCACACCCCTTTAATTCCAGCATTTAGAAGGAAGAGGCAGGTGGGTCTCTGTGAATTCAAGGACAGATAGCCAGGTCTATGTAGAGAGATCCTGACTCAGGGAAAAGAAAAGAAAGAAAATTTCCTCCCTAATCTGCCTATTCACTCCCACCTTGCATGGATGGATTGGCCTAACCACCCTCTGGGTCCCCCTTGTCATTTTACACCTGCTAGATAGGAGCCCAGCTATTTCACCAGGCACATACACATAAAGATCCAATACACTAAAATTTTCACTGACTCTTCCTTGGTGTCATGGGCAGGAGACAAGCATCTGTTCCAGTGTTGTATCCTCACTTCTCAACATCAGTGGATCTAAAACATGAGAAGAATTTAGCTATAATATAAAGCAAAATCCACATTTTAAGTTCCATCCGTGTATTTGCTAAATGTGGTGCTTCAGTTTAGTTTCCGTTTACAGAAAAGAAAATGGAAATGAAGAATGGGTACAAAATTCCATCAAGGCCGGATGGTGGTGGCGCACACCTTTAGTCCCAGCACTTGGGAGGTAGAGCCAGACAGATCTCTGTGAGTTCAAGGCCAGCCTAGTCTACAGAGTGAGATCCAGGACAGGCACCAAAACTACACAGAGAAACCCTGTCTGGGGGGGGTGGGAAATCCATCCTATCTCATCAGAAGTGAGACTGAACATCTGTTTCCACATCATGGCCAGTGGTTGTGTGTGTGATGCTCCGTAAGTCACTGTCCTTCTTCCGTAAATGTTAGCTGTGGAACTGGAGAGAGAGCTCAACAGTTAGGAACACTTGTTGCTCTTCTAGAGGGCCTGTATAGTGCGAATTCTAATTGGTCTTAATAATAAAAACCTGGAGTCAGATATTGAAATATCAGAAAAGTAAAGGAGCCAGCCACTAGAGAGACTTCTTGCCTCTGCCAAATCCTCAGACTTCCATACTCTCATCTCCAGGCAAGATTAATTTGTTAGAGCACAAACAAAATATCACCACAGACCTTGGTTTGATGTCCAGAAACCACATGATGGTTCACAACCATCCTTATCTCCAGTTCCTGGGGAGTTGATACCCTCTTCTGACCTCCATGGACCAAACACATGCCAAACATGCACACGGTGTACATATATACATGAAGGCAAAACACTCTCACTTATAATCAATCTAATTTTTAAAGGTTTTAATAAAGTGAAGTAAAGGTAGCATTTAAGCATTTAATTTATGAGAAAATTACTCACCAAACACGATGCACACTTTTAATCTTAACATTTGAGAGGCCAAGGGGAATAGAGCTATGTGAGTTGAGCTAGCCTGAACTACATAGTGAGTTCCAGGACAGCCAAGGATATAGAGTGAGACCCTGTCTCAAAGTTAAAAAGAAAGAAGGAAAGAAAAGAAAATCACAGGCTGGAGAGATGGCTCAGCAGTTAAGAGCACTGACTGCTTTTCTAGAGGTCCTGAGTTCAATTCCCAGCAACCACATGGTGGCTCACAACCATCTGTAGTGAGATCTGGTTCCCTCTTCTGGCGTGCACGGGCACATGCAGGCAGAATACTATATACGTAATAATAAACAAATCTTAGAAAAAAAAAAAAAAGAAAGAAAGAAAAGAAAATCACTCATATACCTTATAAACTCAATTTAAATACTTACTTTGCATGATATCTATATTGTAGTTAGGATTCTGAACTTTGAAGGAGGAATTTACCAGCCTAAAGAGCCAGAGCAGTTATATTAAAAAAAAAAAGCTGGGAATGGTGGCACAGGCTTTTAAACCTAACCCTCAGGAGCAGAGGCAGGCCTAGTTTACAAAGCAAGTTCCAGGACAGCCAGAGCTGTTACACAGAGAAACCCTATCTCAAAAAACAACAAAAAAGAAAAGAAAAAATCTTCCAAAGTTTAAACATTAAATGTTTTCTGGGCTGAGCATGTTCAATCCCCAGAATCACATCAACAAGGCATAGTATCACATACATGTTGTCCTAGCATTCAGGGTTAGAGGACAGCCTTGGATACATGAGACATTGTCTCAGAAAAGCCATAAATAGTTTTCTAGTTGATAAGTCCAGAGATGAAGGCTCTCACATACTTAATAGCTTAACTTCTCAACATTGCCTTTGAGTAGTTATCCGGCACTATGAAAATGAATAGCTAAATGGCTTACCCTCGTGACCAGAATTTGCACATATTGCATTATTTGCTAGATGTACTTTCATAAAAATATTAGTTTTAAATTTCCAAATATAGCCACAGCTTGTTTAGAAAGAACACACCTGTTTACTGTGTTAAGAAAAGTATTAATACTAAATGGTCAGCCCTAAAAACATGCATACAAGTAACATTATACAGACTGATCAGGTCGTATTTATGTATTTAGAAATATGTATACATACACATATCTATGACAAAGGAGGCCATGAATCTGAAAGAGCAGAGGTGTGGGGAATGGAGGGTGCATATGGGAGGGCATAGAGGGAAGTGATATATTTACATTGTAATCTCAGAAATTTTTGTTTGTTTTTGGTTTTTTGAGACAGGTTTCTCTGTATGTAGCGTTGGATGTCCTGGAACTCACTCTGTAGACCAGACTGGCCTTAAACTCACAGAGATTGTCCTATACCACCACCACTCAGCAATCTCAGAAATTTTTAAAATTTTATTTTAAAGGTATATGAATAGGCCAAGCATGGTGGTACACCCTTTCAATCCCAGCACTTGGGAGGCAGAGGCAGGTGGGTCTCTGTGAGTTCGGGGCCAGCCAGGGTTACAGCAGAAAGATCTGTCTTGAAAGAATTTAAAAATTAAAGTATAAATTCTTACTGTTATTTTCCTAATACTATGCTAATATTTTTCTACATAGTTGCCCTTGGACCAGAAAGAAGAAAATCTGACTCAGGAGTTATGTTACCAACACTCAGGGTCTCTCTTATTCAAGACATGAGGTATTTGTTACACATGCTGACGAATGGTGACATCTGTGTAGCTTTCCCTAAACTGCTCCAGCGATTATAACTATACCTTTTGTTTATGTGTTCTGAAGAAAGTATTTTCATGATTATAAATATGGTTCTTTATTTATTTTTATTTTATCTTATGAATGTTAGTGTTTGACCTTACATATATGTAAACCCTGTGCATGCCTGGTGCCCACGGAGTTCAGAGGAGGGAACTGGATCTCCTGAAACCAGAGTTAGGGGATGGTTGTGAGCTACCGTGTGGGCACTGAGAGCTGAGTGCAGGTGAAGAGCAACAAGTGCCTTCAACTGCACAGCCGTCTCTCTGCCTAACTCTTAATTGTTTTCTACTGTACTGTTTTGTTGTTTTTTCTGACATTAAATAAAAAGGAAGATGCAGTTGGGGAAGAGTTTTCTAAAACAGCTCTAAACTATAACTTCTCTTTGAAAAATCTCTTAATGTTATCTGTAGATATAGATCAAAAAATATAAACAGATGGCTTAGCAGAAAAATTGGTCTCAGAACGATACATTTTTTATGTTTTTTGTTTGTTTGTTTGTTTGTTTGTTTTTAGAGACAGGGTTTCTCTATGTAGCCCTGCTGTCCTGGAACTCACTCTGTAGACCAGGCTGGCCTCAAACTCAGATCTGCCTGCCTCCAAGTGCTGGGACTAAAGGTGTGCACCACCACTGCCCAGCAAGATAGAGCTTTAAAAGTACAAATATTGAAATTCCAATTTCTTGCCAGGGAGTGGTGGCACACACATTTAGTCCAAGAATCTGGGAGGCAGAGGCAGATGGGTCTCTGTGAATTCAAGGCCACCTGGTCTACAAGGCAAATTCCAGGACAACTGGGGCTGTTACAACACAGAGAAACTCTGTCAAAAAAAAAAAAAAAAAAAAAT